CACACAGTGACACAGTGGCACACAGTGACACACACACAGTGACACACAGTGACACACAGTGACACACTCACACACAGACACACACACAGTGACACACAGTGGCACAGTGACACACACACAGTGACACAGTGACACACAATGACACACACACAGTGACACACAGTGATACACACAGTGACACACTCACACACAGTGACACACAGTGTCACAGTGACACACACAGTGACACACACACAGTGTCACACACACACTCACACAGATACACACAGACACACACACAGTGACACACAGTGACACACACACAGTGACAGACAGTGACACACACACAGTGCCACACAGTGACACAGTGACACACACACAGTGACACAGTGACACACAGTGACACACAGTGACACACTCACACACAGACACACACACAGTGACACACACACAGTGACACACAGTGACACACAGTGACACACTCACACACAGACACACACACAGTGACACACAGTGACACACAGTGACACACACACAGACACACAGTGACACACAGTGACACACAGTGACACACTCACACACAGACACACACACAGTGACACACAGTGACACACACACACAGTGACACACACACACAGTGACACACACACACAGTGACACACAGTGACACACACACAGTGTTACACACACACAGTGACACACAGTGACACAGTGACACACAGTGACACACACACTCACACACTCACACACACAGTGTCACACACACAGACACACAGTGACACACAGTGACACACACACACAGTGTCACACACACACAGTGACACACAGTGACACACACAGTGACACACACAGTGACACACAGTGACACACAGTGTCACACAGTGTCACACAGTGTCACACACACACTCACACAGACACACACAGATACACACAGACACACACACAGACACACACACTCACACACAAACAGACACACACAGACACACACACACAGACACACACACTCACACACAAACAGACACACACAGACACACACACACACAGACACACACTCACACACAGACACACAGACACACACACACAGACACACACACACACAGACACACACACAATCAGACACAGACAGACACACACACACACACAGACACACAAACACACACAGACACACACACAATCAGACACAGACAGACACACACACACACACAGACACACACACAGACACACACACAATCAGACACAGACAGACACACACACAGACACACAGACACACACAGCGCGAGTCGGCTGAGCGAGTGGCTGAGCGGGTGAGTGAGTGACTGAGTGACTGAGTGAGTGACTGAGTGACTAAGTGAGTGAGTGACTGAGTGAGTGACTAAGTGACTGAGTGAGTGACTAAGTGAGTGACTGAATGAGTGACTAAGTGACTGAGTGACTGAGTGAGTGACTGAGGGAGTGACTGAGTGTCTGAGTGACTGAGTGAGTGAGCGAGTGACTGAGTGAGTGACTGAGTGAGTGACAAAGTGGCTGAGTGAGTGACTGAGTGAGTGACTGAGTGAGTGGCTCAGTGAGTGAGTGAGTGACTGAGCGACTGACCAAGTGAGTGAGTGACTAAGTGAGTGAGTGACTGAGTGAGTGACTAAGTGAGTGAGTGACTAAGTGAGTGACGAAGTGACTGAGTGAGTGACCAGGCGAGTGACTGAGCGACTGACTAAGTGAGTGAGTGACTAAGTGAGTGAGTGACTGAGTGAGTGACTAAGTGAGTGAGTGACTGAGTGAGTGACTGAGTGAGTGACTAAGTGAGTGACTAAGTGAAAGAGTGACTAGGCGAGTGACTAAGTGACTGAGTGAGTGGCTGAGCGAGCGACTAAGTGAGCGAGTGACTGAGCGAGCGACTGAGTGACTAAGTGACAGTGACTGAGCGAGCGACTGAGTGAGTGACTAAGTGACTGAGTGAGTGACTGAGCGAGTGACTAAGTGACTGAGTGAATGACTAGGTGAGTGACTGAGTGACTGACTGAGTGAGTGACTGAGCGAGCGACTAGGCGAGCGACTATCACCGCACCTGGGCGTGCCGCATGATGACTCCGAGGTTGACTCCCTCTGTGTGGAGTACCAGCCTCCTCGGCCCGCCCGCTCCACCCGCGGCGTCCACCACCGCCTCCACCCCCTCCACCGCCTCCTCGGTGAGGAGGCCGCGGACGATGCCGGGAACCTCGCGGACGACGGAGCGACGTGACAAAGCCGTGACGAGAGACGAGACGTCCAGATGCTCACGGAAGACAGGGAGCTTGAAGACCACCTGGGGTGTGGTGGGTGGAGGTGTGGGTGGGTGGGTGGGGGGGTGTGGGGGGTGGGGGGGGTGGGGGGGTGGGTGAGTGGGTGAGTGAGTGGGTGAGTGAGTGAGTGAGTGGGTGGGTGAGTGGGTGGGTGGGTGAGTGGGTGGGTGAGTGGGTGAGTGAGTGGGTGAGTGAGTGAGTGGGTGAGTGAGTGAGTGGGTGAGTGAGTGAGTGAGTGGGTGAGTAAGTGAGTGAGTGAGTGGGTGAGTGAGTGAATCAGTGAGTGAGTGGGTCAGTGAGTGGGTGAGTGGGTGGGTGAGTGGGTGAGTGCGTGAGTGGGTGGGTGGGTGAGTGAGTGGGTGAGTGGGAGAGTGAGTGAGTGGGTGAGTGAGTGGGTGAGTGAGTGAGTGGGTGAGTGGGTGAGTGGGTGAGTGAGTGGGTGAGTGAGTGGGTGAGTGAGTGGGTGAGTGGGTGAGTGAGTGGGTGAGTGGGTGAGTGGGTGAGTGAGTGGGTGAGTGGGTGAGTGGGTGAGTGAGTGGGTGAGTGAATCAGTGAGTGAGTGAGTGAGTGGAACTCACCCGGCACCAGCGATGCTCCGTCCCATCGTAGGAGTATTCCTCCACGGCAGGGAACGCTGACAGCACGGCGCTGATACGGAGAGCGTCACCCCCACTACACACACAGTACACACACAGTACACACACAGTACACACACAGTACACACACAGTACACAGTGTATACACAGTGTATACACACAGTACACACAGTACACACACACAGAGTACACACACAGTACACACACAGTACACACACAGTACACACACAGTACACAGTGTTTACACAGTGTATACACACAGTACACAGTACACACACAGTACACACACAGTACACACACAGTACACACACAGTACACAGTGTATACACAGTGTATACACAGTGTATACACACAGTACACAGTACACACACAGTACACACACAGTACACAGTGTATACACAGTGTATACACACAGTACACAGTACACACACAGTACACACACAGTACACACACAGTACACACACAGTACACAGTGTTTACACAGTGTATACACACAGTACACAGTACACACACAGTACACACACAGTACACACACAGTACACAAACAGTACACAAACAGTGTATACACAGTGACACACACACAGTATACACACAGTGTACACAGTACACAGTGTACACACAGTACACACACAGTACACACACACAGTGTACACACAGTACACACACACAGTGTACACACACAGTGTACACACACAGTGTACACACAGTACACACACACAGTGTACACACACACACAGTGTACACACAGCAAACACAGTACAGAGTACACACAGTACACACACAGTACACACACACAGTACACACAGTACACACACACAGTGTACACACACACACACAGTGTACACACACAGTACACATAGTGTACACACACACAGTGTACGCACAGAGTACACAGTGTACACACACACAGTACACACAGTACACACACACAGTGTACACACAGTACACACACAGTACACACACACAGTGTACACACACAGTGTACACACAGTACACACACAGTGTACACACATAGTGTACACACACACACAGTACACACACAGTACACACACAGTACACACACACAGTGACACACACAGTGTACACACAGTGTACACACAGTACACACACAGTGTACACACACAGTGTACACACACACACAGTACACACACAGTACACACACAGTACACACACACAGTGTACACACAGTACACACACAGTGTACACACACAGTGTACACACACACACAGTACACACACAGTACACACAGTACACACACAGTACACACACACAGTGTACACACACAGTACACACAGTGACACACACAGTGTACACACAGTACACACACAGTGTACACACAATACACACACAGTGTAAACACAGTACACCCACACACAGTGTACACACACACACAGTATACACACACACAGTGTACACACACAGTACACACACAGTACACACCCACCCACCCCACCCACCACACCCACCCACTCACCCACTCAATCACCCACCCACTCACCCACCCACTCACTCACTCACCCATCCACTCACCCACCCACTCACTCACCCACCCACCCACCCACTCACTCACCCACCTACTCACTCACCCACCCACTCACTCACCCACCCACCCACCCACTCACTCACCCACTCACTCACTCACTCACCCACCACTCACTCACCCACCACTCACCCGCTCACTCACTCACTCACCCACCCACCCACCCACTCACTCACTCACCCACTCACCCACTCACTCACCCACCCACTCACCCACCCACCCACTCACTCACTCACCCACCCACTCACCCACCCACTCACCCACCCACCCACTCACCCACTCACCCACTCACTCACCCACCCACTCACCCACTCACCCACTCACTCACCCACTCACCCACCCACTCACTCACCCACCCACCCACCCACTCACTCACCCACCCACTCACCCACCCACTCACCCACCCACCCACTCACCCACTCACTCACTCACCCACTCACTCACCCACTCACCCACCCACTCACCCACCCACTGACCTGTGACCTCTCTCCATGTCCTCCTCATCCAACGCCTCTTTCACGTTGCCCTGGGAGACCGCTCCACCCTCCCCCTCTTCCTCCTCCTTCTCCTCCTCCCCCTTCCGCTCTTCCTCCTCCTCCTCATCATCATCATCACCTCCTCCACCTCGCCCTGGTCCACCACCACCACCACCCTCTCCATCCTCTCCATCCTCTCCCTCCTCTCCCTCCTCACTCTCATAGTCAACCTGGAGAGAGACACGGGGAGAGAGACACGGGGAGACACGGGGAGCGAGAGACACGGTGAGAGAGACACGGGGAGAGAGACACGGTGAGAGAGACACGGGGAGACACGGGGAGACACGGGGAGAGAGAGACACGGTGAGAGAGACACGTGGAGAGAGACACGGGGAGAGAGACACGGTGAGAGAGACACGGGGAGAGAGACACGGTGAGAGAGACACGGGGAGACACGGGGAGAGAGAGACACGGTGAGAGAGACACGGGGAGAGAGACACGGTGAGAGAGACACGGGGAGACACGGGGAGCGAGAGACACGGGGAGACACGGGGAGAGACACGGTGAGAGAGACACGGGGAGACACGGGGAGAGAGACACGGGGAGACAAGGGGAGAGACACGGGGAGAGAGACACGGGGAGACAAGGGGAGAGAGAGACACGGGGAGACACGGGGAGAGACACGGTGAGAGAGACACGGGGAGACACGGAGAGAGAGACACGGGGAGACACGGGGAGAGAGACACGGGGAGACAAGGGGAGAGAGAGACACGGGGAGACAAGGGGAGAGAGAGACACGGGGAGACACGGGGAGAGACACGGTGAGAGAGACACGGGGAGACACGGGGAGAGACACGGTGAGAGAGACACGGGGAGACACGGGGAGAGAGACACGGGGAGACAAGGGGAGAGACACGGTGAGAGAGACACGGGGAGACACGGGGAGAGAGACACGGGGAGACAAGGGGAGAGAGAGACACGGGGAGACACGGGGAGAGACACGGTGAGAGAGACACGGGGAGACACGGAGAGAGAGACACGGGGAGACAAGGGGAGAGAGAGACACGGGGAGAGAGACACGGTGAGAGAGACAAAGGGAGACACGGGGAGAGAGAGACACGGGGAGACACGGGGAGAGACACGGTGAGAGAGACACGGGGAGACACGGGGAGAGAGAGACACGGTGAGAGAGACACGGGGAGACACAGGGAGAGAGAGACACGGTGAGAGAGACACGGGGAGAGAGACACGGTGAGAGAGACACGGGGAGACACGGGGAGAGAGAGACACGGTGAGAGAGACACGGGGAGAGAGACACGGTGAGAGAGACACGGGGAGACACAGGGAGAGAGAGACACGGGAAGACACGGGGAGAGACACGGTGAGAGAGACACGGGGAGAGAGACACGGTGAGAGAGACACGGGGAGACACGGGGAGAGAGAGACACGGGGAGAGAGAGACACGGTGAGACACGGGGAGAGAGACACAGGGAGACACGGGGAGAGAGACACAGGGAGACACGGGGAGAGAGACACGGGGAGAGAGACACGGGGAGAGAGACACGGTGAGAGAGACACGGGGAGACACGGTGAGACACAGTGAGAGAGACACACGGGGAGAGACACGCGGGGAGAGAGAGACACAGGGAGAGAGACACGGGGTGAGAGACACGGGGAGAGAGACACAGAGAGAGACACGGGAAGACACGGGGAGAGAGACACGGGGAGATAGACACAGAGAGAGACACAGGGAGAGAGACACGGTGAGACATGGGGAGAGAAAGACACGGGGAGACACGGTGAGAGACACAGGGAGAGAGACACGGGGAGAGAGACACGGGGAGAGAGACACCGAGAGACACGGGGAGAGAGAGAGAGAGACATGGAGAGAGAGACACGGGGAGAGAGACACCGAGAGACACGGGGAGAGAGACACGGGGAGAGAGACACGGGGAGAGAGACACGGGGAGAGAGACATGGGGAGAGAGAGACACGGGGAGAGAGACACGGGGAGAAAGACACGGGGAGAGAGACACGGGGAGAGAGACACGGGGAGAGAGACACGGTGAGAGAGAGACACGGGGAGAGAGACACGGTGAGAGAGACACGGAGAGAGAGACACGGTGAGAGAGACACGGTGAGAGAGACACGGGGAGAGAGACACCGAGAGACACGGGGAGAGAGACACGGGGAGAGAGACACGGAGAGAGAGACACGGGGAGAGAGAGACACGGGGAGAGAGAGACGGGGAGAGAAAGACACGGGGAGAGAGAGACACAGGGAGAGAGAGACGGGGAGAGAAAGACACGGGGAGAGAGAGAGACACGGGGAGAGAGAGACACGGGGAGAGAGACACGGTGAGAGAGACACGGTGAGAGAGACACGGGGAGAGAGACACAGGGAGAGAGACACGGGGAGAGAGAGACACGGGGAGAGAGACACGGGGAGAGAGACACCAAGAGACACGGGGAGAGAGACACGGGGAGAGAGACACGGAGAGAGAGACACGGGGAGACAAGGGGAGAGAGAGACACGGGGAGACACGGGGAGAGACACGGTGAGAGAGACACGGGGAGACACGGAGAGAGAGACACGGGGAGACAAGGGGAGAGAGAGACACGGGGAGAGAGACACGGTGAGAGAGACAAAGGGAGACACGGGGAGAGAGAGACACGGGGAGACACGGGGAGAGACCCGGTGAGAGAGACACGGGGAGACACGGGGAGAGAGAGACACGGTGAGAGAGACACGGGGAGACACAGGGAGAGAGAGACACGGTGAGAGAGACACGGGGAGAGAGACACGGTGAGAGAGACACGGGGAGACACGGGGAGAGAGAGACACGGTGAGAGAGACACGGGGAGAGAGACACGGTGAGAGAGACACGGGGAGACACAGGGAGAGAGAGACACGGGAAGACACGGGGAGAGACACGGTGAGAGAGACACGGGGAGAGAGACACGGTGAGAGAGACACGGGGAGACACGGGGAGAGAGAGACACGGGGAGAGAGAGACACGGTGAGACACGGGGAGAGAGACACAGGGAGACACGGGGAGAGAGACACAGGGAGACATGGGGAGAGAGACACGGGGAGAGAGACACGGGGAGAGAGACACGGTGAGAGAGACACGGGGAGACACGGTGAGACACGGTGAGAGAGACACGGGGAGAGACACGCGGGGAGAGAGAGACACAGGGAGAGAGACACGGGGTGAGAGACACGGGGAGAGAGACACAGAGAGAGACACGGGAAGACACGGGGAGAGAGACACGGGGAGATAGACACAGAGAGAGACACAGGGAGAGAGACACGGTGAGACATGGGGAGAGAAAGACACGGGGAGACACGGTGAGAGACACAGGGAGAGAGACACGGGGAGAGAGACACGGGGAGAGAGACACCGAGAGACACGGGGAGAGAGACACGGGGAGAGAGACATGGAGAGAGAGACACGGGGAGAGAGACACCGAGAGACACGGGGAGAGAGACACGGGGAGAGAGAGACACGGGGAGAGAGACATGGGGAGAGAGAGACACGGGGAGAGAGACACGGGGAGAAAGACACGGGGAGAGAGACACGGGGAGAGAGACACGGGGAGAGAGACACGGTGAGAGAGAGACACGGGGAGAGAGACACGGTGAGAGAGACACGGAGAGAGAGACACGGTGAGAGAGACACGGGGAGAGAGACACGGGGAGAGAGACACCGAGAGACACGGGGAGAGAGACACGGGGAGAGAGACACGGAGAGAGAGACACGGGGAGAGAGAGACACGGGGAGAGAGAGACGGGGAGAGAAAGACACGGGGAGAGAGAGACACAGGGAGAGAGAGACGGGGAGAGAAAGACACGGGGAGAGAGAGAGACACGGGGAGAGAGAGACACGGGGAGAGAGACACGGTGAGAGAGACACGGTGAGAGAGACACGGGGAGAGAGACACAGGGAGAGAGACACGGTGAGAGAGAGACACGGGGAGAGAGACACGGGGAGAGAGACACCGAGAGACACGGGGAGAGAGACACGGGGAGAGAGACACAGAGAGAGAGACATGGGGAGAGAGACACTGGGAGACACGGGGAGAGAGACACGGGGAGAGAGACACGGGGAGAGAGACACGGGGAGAGAGACACGGTGAGAGAGACACGGTGAGAGAGACACCGAGAGACACGGGGAGAGAGACACGGGGAGAGAGACACGGGGAGAGAGACACGGAGAGAGAGACACGGGGAGAGAGAGACACGGGGAGAGAGAGACGGGGAGAGAAAGACACGGGGAGAGAGAGACACGGGGAGAGAGAGACGGGGAGAGAAAGACACGGGGAGAGAGAGAGACACGGGGAGAGAGAGACACGGGGAGAGAGACACGGTGAGAGAGACACTGTGAGAGAGACACGGGGAGAGAGAGACACGGGGAGAGAGACACAGGGAGAGAGACACGGGGAGAGAGAGACACGGGGAGAGAGACACGGGGAGAGAGACACCGAGAGACACGGGGAGAGAGACACGGGGAGAGAGACACGGAGAGAGAGACACGGGGAGAGAGACACTGGGAGACACGGGGAGAGAGACACGGGGAGAGAGACACGGGGAGAGAGACACGGTGAGAGAGACACGGGGAGAGAGACACGGGGAGAGAGACACCGGGAGACACGGGGAGAGAGACACGGTGAGAGAGACACGGGGAGAGAGACACGGGGGGGAGAGACACGGGGAGAGAGACACGCGGAGACACGGGGAGAGAGACACGGTGAGAGTGACACGGGGAGACACGGGGAGAGAGACACGGTGAGAGAGACACGGGGAGAGAGACACCGAGAGACACGGGGAGAGAGACACGGGGAGACACGGGGAGAGAGACACGGGGAGACACGGGGAGAGAGACACGGTGAGACACGGGGAGACACGGGGAGAGAGACACGGTGAGAGAGACACGGGGAGAGAGAGACACGGGGAGAGAGACACGGGGAGAGAGACACGGTGAGAGAGACACGGTGAGAGAGAGACACGGGGAGAGAGACACGGTGAGAGAGACACGGAGAGAGAGACACGGTGAGAGAGACACGGGGAGAGAGACACGGTGAGAGAGACACGGTGAGAGAGAGACACGGGGAGAGAGAGACGGGGAGAGAG